CAAAAAATCAATATTTTTCGATGATTATAAGATTCAAATATGAGACACTTTAAATTAATCACCAAAAGCTTAGTCACTCAACTATGCTGTGAATTTATTTTATTATATTGAACTTAATACTTACCTTTTTTTATTAATTTGGGATAAATACAAGGTAGTATGTGTTCGAAGATAACTCTCAACCTTTTGACATTGAACACTCACACCCTTGACATCTATGGTGCTCAAACCCGAATCCTCAAGTAATAACTACAATTCCTTTACCACGGAGGCAACTTGGTTGGTGCAACTTAATACTTACTTATATCATTATTAAATTAAAAGTAATTTTTCACTTTATTTAGAAATAAAAAATAATTAAATAATTTATTTTTTAATAAAAAGTATAGTTATAAAAATATATTTATAATATTATAAAAATATTTTATTTATTTTTTAAAATCCAATTAATTATTTATTTGAAATAATATTATTTTTAAATTATTTATTTAACTTTAAATAATTTAAATTTAGGGTAAATTATATATTTAGTTTTCAACTATCACTTTGGTTCCGTATAATATTATTTAAAACTAAATAGACAATTTAAAAGTAATATTTCAAATATTTTCACAATATTATAAATAAACATTTTAGAATAATTTAATATAAAATTTATAAATACATAAAGTATTAATTTAAAGTGTCACATATTCGAATTTTATAATCATCGAAAAATATTGCTTTTGTGGTGATATTATTATATAAGTTAAATGCAAAATATGGTAAAAGTAACATAAATGACTAGTTTAATTCAATGGTTGAGTGTCTTGTATTTCATTTAAGGGTTCAATTCTTACACTTTTTTTATTTCATCCTTATAGTTACTTACACGTGTCACCATTTAATTAGTTAAATAAACTTAATTAAAAAATATTGAAGGAGAAATGGAAAAATGATGTGGAAATTAAAAAAAAATTGACATGTCATGCAACATCAACATTATTGTTAATGGTTTTGAAAAAAATAAAGTGTATGACTAAAACAAAATAAAAATGATAGTGTAAATACTAAACGTATAATTTACCTTTTTAATATTTACTTAATAAAAGACATTTTAGTTAGTGATGTGTTTCAGTACATCGTTTTAATGGTATGTTGTAGTATGCGATGTGCGTTGTGGAACCATCCTATTTTTTGACCATTGGGATCTAAGATCAAAGCTTCATATTTACTAGAACATGAGAACCCAGTAAGAATTTTTTTTTCCATTTTTTTGTCTTTTATATTCATTCTTATTCTTTTTTTGGTCTTATGTGGTTGTTAGGATTTGATTTGGAATGCTGTTTAGGTTACATAATCTTGCGGGAAGGATCGACAGTTGAAGAAAATTTTAAGGAGTTAGAGAGCGAAAAAAATATTAGTCAAACGTTAATCTACGCTTACAAGGCAGTTCAAATATTAATAAAAAATATCATGTCCCTACAGTGTTAGAAAGAAAATGATAACATGACCAAAAAAGTTCAACATTCAGAGTGAGTAAATTGAAAATATTTCAATTTTAGTGACCAAAACAGGAATGAGAAGATAGCTAAATGATAAATGTTGTAGTTTCCTCTTCTTCTGTCGCTGTCTCTGTTACCGGCCTACACTCGATTTTTCCAACGCATTCATTTCTTTTTGTATTTTCCTTCTCGAATCTCGTATAACTGAGAGCTTTCGTATGTTAAAAATACGATGCTTGTATACGAAACATATTCGAACACAAGAAGTTCAGTTATTTGGTGAAATCCATCAAAGGTGGACCCAAAGTTTACCTAAATAAACATAAATGAAACCTTTTGGAACAATAATGGAGCCGATACCGATAGAAGTGTAGGAGTAATATATTTCTCAATCTGTAAGAACAAAAACAAATAAAAAAGTGATGAAAACCACACAAAAATTAAAATTTTTAACGGTAGGTATTAAAATATAACAAAAATTAAAATTTTTAACGGTAGGTATTAAAATATAACAAAAATTAAAATTTAAGTATGATTTTGATAAAATTAAAAGTTTAGGTACTAAAATGTGATAAAATTTATTGTTTAGGTACTAAACGCATTAAGCATTTAACAGAGGGGTATTCAAATGAAATGAAAATTAAACGTTAAACATGATTTTTAAAAAAAATTAAAAGTTTAAGTATTAAAATAGATCAAAATTGATAGTTTATACACTAAATTATGGTTTACCCAAAACATTAATATGTTTTATTTTCTTTTCGCTGGTTTGGGCCAGCGGCAACAGTTGTAAGGTTACTTTTAGGGGTGTTAAAAAGATAACTAATCCAATCTATTCGGTGGTAGATTCGGTTAAAAATATTAGGCCTTCATAATAAAAATACTTGTTTTTGTGGGTTGAATATTCTGTTCACTATTTTTCTCGAGTTTTTGGGTTGGTCTCGTATTATAAAGTATCCTTTAATTGAGTACTCGCGCACTTGATATTAAATTTCTTATATATTTTTATTTTAATTTTTATTTTATATTAGATTAATTTGTAAATTATTTTACCCTAACATTTAAATTTTTTTAAATTATTTAAATATAACATTCTAAATTATTAATTTCTTAAATTATTTCACCTTAAGGATCTAAATTATTTCTTCTAACTTCAAAATATTTTAAGTTTAATTGTCTTTCTTTAATTTTATTTTTAAATAAAATTTATCTTTTAATTAATGTAATCTGATTTTTTAAATTTTATGTGTGAATGATGTATTATACACTTTTAAACTTTAAATTTTTTAATTTTTAATTTTTTTTCTATGTAATTTTTTTAAATAATATAATTTTAAAAAAAATCAACCGAGTATTCATGAACCGAAAATATAAGTACTTAGATTTTATAAGTACTTAAATTACAAGTACTGAAACCTAATGGGTCAGGGCATAAAGAAACATTTTGGTATCTGAAAACTTCGGATACCCGATATTTCAGATACAAAAAATATAAGTATTTAATTTTGAACACCCTTAATAAAGTGTAAATAGATTAGTAACGGAATAAGATTCATTTGTACTCCGAAGTGAATGAATGTAAGTATAAAAAAGTTTAGAGTAAACTATATTTTTAATAGCTAAGTTATTACTTTTATTTTAATTTGATATCTAATTTTTTCTAAAAAATAAATTTAAGATCTAGTTTATGTTTCAATTTAGTTTCTACTGTTAAAAAAATTAATAGAACTAGTGATGTGATATTTTTTTAATTTTTTCAATGATGATGCAACATTATATTATGTGGACATGTCAAGACCACCGTTAAATTTTTAATGACGAAAAATTAAAATGTAACCTAAACAAAACATTATGAATGATTTAAAAAATTGGATACTAAATAGAACAAAAGTAATAGTATAATTACTAAGATTGTAGTTTACCCAAAAGTGAATGAAATCAAAATAAAAATGATTCATTAAAATATATAATTAATTAAACCAATATAAGCGCACTGTCTTTACCACTAAATATAAGGCGGAGAAAGGCTACGCAAGGAATGATAAATGTATATTTAATAGGATAAATTATACAATAGTGTTATTTTTTATTTAACCAACTTTAGTCATCAATTGATTTTAGTTATTTCTATTCGATTTTAGTTCTTTAACTATGTTACATATTTTTTAAGAGTTAGCAATGAAGAGATTTAAACCGAATTACTGATAATATTAAAGATTTTTTACCTTTAATTTTTAAATTTATGATTAAAATTTAGGGATGACAAAATAATCCGAATCCGAATCCGACGGGAAAAATCGAAAATCGAATTTAACGGGTCGGGTTCGGGGATGATAAACGGGGACGGGGACGGGGAAAATCCGTTTATGTTAAACGGGGACGGGGACGGGTTTGGTAATCCCCGCCCCGATTACCCGATTACCCGACACGATTACCCGGCCCGATACACGACCCGATAAATATTAAAAATAATTATTTTTTTATATATAATATTAATAACATATTTTAAATTAACCCTTAAATATTTTTTATTATTTTTTCACCCCATACTGCTCCACTTTAAAACACCGTCTCCGCTTCAATTTCTAGAATTTACCTCAATTTTCGCTGTCTCATAATATTCTTTTTTTCTTTTAATCGTGAAAATAGTGCTTACACTTCTTATTTGCAATCACGTGTGAACCTTTAATAACTTTTAATAGACAAACATTGTATAGTTAAATGGGAAAAGTCTGGTTGGTTTGGTGGTATTGTGCCACTACCAACGAACGTGTACTTACTGCAGGATCCTCGTCCAGTACAACATTACACACCTGAAGCCCACCACTAAGATTGGCAAGCTGAAAATTATGTCAAGCAGAATTTAAAACCAATGCAACTTGCATATTGTCTTCGTCTCTTCGACAGTAACCCTCATTTTCACCTCGCATTCCAATAACCTCATACAAGCTGTCTCCATTACACAAGCTTTAACGTTCCTCTGACAAAGCGAAGCATGTGAATTAGCCATATTAAAATCAGCCTCGGGACCTATACCAACATCACGTTCTTCCCTAGCAAATGGAACAACAGCTGCTCTCTAGTATTAAATTCGAAAATTCTAAAATTTTTTGGTTAATTCAAAAATTAACCGAACTTTATTCGGTTCGGTTAATATTTTCGAAAAAAAATTGGTTCTATTAACGGTTAAAGAAAAAAATTCGGTCAATTCGATTAATGGTAGTTCGGTCGGTTCGGCCACCGAATTAACCGAATGAACAACCCTACAGATACCCGTTTAAATAAACGTTTATGCTAAACGGAAATATCCGTTTCCCCGCGGTTTTCCCCGATTACCCGATGGGGATCCCCGTTTAAATCCCCACGATTTTTTAAACAGGGACGTATACCGATTTTTTAAACGGGGACGAGGATGGGGGATCAATACTCAACCCGAACCCGACCCGTTGCCATCCCTATTAAAATTAGACAAACCTAAACAAAAAGAGACTATGTGTATAAATAACTTATTTATTAAGTAGTGATAAAAAAGGATAAGGCAGATTTTCATTTTTTTTCAGTCTCCTACCTGAAGAAACGAAAATCGAAGTCTCTCACAAACCATGAGTCTCTTCGGTCTCGGCAGGTGACTTCTAATTTCCACTTTCTTTCCTTTTTCAACTTTTCGGGAAATAGTTTGATTATTTTCCTTCATTTTTATTTTTTATTGCTTGTTTGCAAATTGCATTGATAATTCAGTCGGATCTGTTGTAGTTCTGCATCCTTTTGTGATTCAAGATCAGGTATCAGCTGTTTTTTTTTTCTTTCTTTAGATTTTTAATTGGAATTATGAAGCCATTTCTTCTTTCTTCCTAATTTATTCCCTGATTCTTTGATTGCTCTTTTGAACTGTACCTGCAATCCATATTTTTTTTACCTAGGGCAATTGGCTGTGGTTAACGTTCTTTTCTTTATTAATTTCTCAAATTCAGTACTATCCGTTAATTATTGTTCTTGCTGTGAAAGTGTACCTTAAAAGATTTCCGAAGCTTATGCATTTAAAGGAAATTGAATCCTAATGCATGTTAACAGGGATGAACGTAGGACTTTATGTCGGGGTCGTACTTAAACTTATCAAATTTAAGGGGAAGCAGATTTCCAATAGAAAATATAGAAAAAATCTAAAATATATAATAATTTTAAATTTTTTTAGGGGGACGACTGCTTCCACCTGCCTTCTCCCGGACCATTCATGCATGTTAAACTTGTCTTCTTGCTATGATTAAAAGCTATGGAAAGCAGGTGGTTTAAGTGAATGACATAATTAGAAAGGTTGAAAAGGTGAACATATGCTAAATCATTAACTTTTAACTTATAGATATTGTTATTGGCAAGATTGAGCTTTGCATCTTGAAGCTGAACTTTATGAAGTAAGTAGCAAATTAGATCCATTGACAATTTGATGACAATTTTAGAAGGCTTGCGATGGCAGAAAGATTAGAAAATTGATTTAACTGGAAGAAAAGTGAAAGGAATGTCCAAATTAGTCTAAGGAAAGCTAATTAATTTTTCCAAAAATCAATTTACTGATCTTCTTTGAAAGATGCTGAAGATCTTTCAGAATTTTCTGATAGATAAGCTCTGGTTTTTTATCTTGGTCTCTAACATGCAGTATGTGTCCATGCATCTCTGATCAATATTGGTCACTGCTTCAATCTGTAAAGAGTAACACCGAATTAATCTACAGAAGTTGTGTATATTTTTTTGTTTTTATAATAAAGAATCAATTTGATACTTCGATTGAGTTTCATTGCTTCGAGTACTTGATCCTCTGAATATGAAATATCTTCAATGTTCACAAGCTATGAGTGTATGATCCTCTGAATATATAGACCTTTATTTGGTGCCTGCATATTTCTGACTCCTACTCCTAATTATGAGCAGAATAGCTGGTAAAAGATTTGTGTATTTTTCAGTTTTTCCTAATATTAAGTTTCTCTGGAAACAGAAATCAGCGTACATTCCGCCCAAAAAAGAGTGCACCTTCAGGACGTAAGGTTGTTACTTCTTTTCTTTTTCTAAAAAATATATGATTAATGTGCTTAAATCTTTTCTATTGTAGTTGAGATCTCATTAAAAATATTTTTTTCCTCCTCCTGATGACCAAGAACTTCTTGGGTGTGAACATGCAACTAAAGAACTGGAAGTATACTAGAAAATTCCAGAAATAGAAACAAAATAAACGAGAGCACAGTTTAGCGCCCAAGAATACATAAAACAATTCCTGAAATGGACATTGAAAGTTTTATCTCTATTTGAAAAGAACATTTTCTTCACCATACCTATTGAGAGAAGGAAAACAAATGCTCACTTACCATTATTTATATTTAAAGTATCATTGCTTCTGATGTCACTTATTAAACCAATAATTTTACATTACTGTGTTTACTTTAAGTTTCAGTGGCAAAGTTGAAGTACTACAAATTTTAATGCTTTACTGGTATGTATGATGGTCATATAGCCCTCACCCATGGGACCCACTCATGGATGTTAGGGGCCATTATATACACATTATACATGAGATGATTCTTTTACTAGTTAGGTATCTCTGTCTAAAGTAACATGGTTAATACTGTTGTGTTATTGAGCTTGAAAATAATTTAATAGCCTTGTTTAGATTTCTCTCCGGTTATTCAGAGCTGACTTCTTTATAGTGCCTTCATATAAAATTTTATGGACTTCATTCTGATGTTTAGTGAATTTGTAGTTCTCATTATAGTATTGTAATCTTGACATATTGCAGGGTGCACAGCTTAAAAAGCACATTGATGCTACCCTGGGCAGTGGAAATTTAAGGGAAGCAGTTAGACTACCTCCTGGGGAGGATTTAAATGAATGGCTTGCAGTCAATAGTATATTTTTCCTCTCTCTTTCTTTCTTACTCATATTTTTCGGCAACCACATACACACACCGTCTGAATAAATCTTTGTGTATATTGACAAACTGTGGATATAATTTATCCTTGAATTTTCTGCTTTAGTTTGACATTGCTATCACTACTGTCGTGGCAGCTAATATTGTTTTTTTGTATTCCTTTTATTAGTTTATTTTTTATAGGATGCTTTAGTTGATTTTCTTCCCTAGTTCTATGTTACTACCAAATTTTCTTTGAATCTCATTGGTAAAGCATAATTATTGGATCTTTTTCAGCCGTGGATTTCTTCAATCAGGTGAATCTGCTCTATGGTTCCCTCACGGAGTTTTGTACTCCTGAGAACTGTCCTACAATGACTGCAGGCCCTAAGTAAGAGATATGAACCATATTCCTTTTGCCCTTTTCAATAAATTAGACACACAATCCTAAATTTTAATATTTTCTGTCATGTTTGGATCTGTTGATGGTATCAAAGGCTTTTCTCTCTAATGATGGATATATTTAAAGGATAAAGTGAAATCAGGACTCCCTTCACTTAAATTGAGTCGCTTTATCTATTTGAACTAGATGTTATTGTACTAATTTAATTTTGTCAATTTATATGCATTTGCTAAACTTTATTGAATTCTGGACGGAATATATAATCTTTTCTAGTAAGTAGGATGAGATTTTGACTATATATCATGTTTTTATTGATTTTGATAGTGTTAGACTGTGATGAGTGAACAAACTTATAAAGAAGGTTGTTATCATTTACTAAATAGTTTACAACCTTTATAGAGTAGTCTAAGTGTAAATGAGGGAACAATCCCTATATATCAGTAACTTGCCTATTGTACAAGGAAACTCCTAGGAATAAGGTAAGTAATCTATCCTTAATTTTAGGAATTCAAACACTCCCCCTCAAGCTAGAGTGTAGATATTTATCAAACCCAGTTTGCCAATAATTTCTTCAAACATGTTTGTGCTCAATCTTGTGGTCAAGAAGCCTACAACTTGTTGTCTCGTAGGTATGCAGGTAACACAAACCTCTCCTGAGTTAATTTTTTCTTTGATGAAGTGGCGATCAATTTCCACATATTTGGTGCGATCATGGTGAACAAGATTATGTGCTATGCTGACAGCTGCTTGGTTGTCACAATGCATTTTTATAGGTCTTGTATAGGACACTTTTAGTTCTCCCAGTAGTCGTTGTATCCAGATTTCTTCGCATATACCATGGGATAGTGCTTGATACTCTGCCTCTACACTGTTGCGTGCTACAACAGACTGTTTTTTTTACTTCTCCATGTTACGAGATTACCCCAAACGTAGCTACAGTAACCACTTGTAGAACATTTGTCGTTAACAGCACCTGCCTAGTCTCCATCAGAGTATACTTCTACACTTCGGTTGGCAGTTTTCTTGAAGTGCAGGCCTTAACTCGGAGTCCCCTTGAGATACCTTAATATCCTATACGCAGCTTCCAGATGTTTCTCCCTTGGAGCGTGCATGAACTGGCTGATAACACTCACACCGAAAGCTATGTCTGGACGAGTGTGAGATAGTTAGATAAGTCTCCCTACTAGTTGTTGATATCTCTCCCCCTGTCGATATCTTCTCCATCCTGATCAGTCCCTAATGTAAGATTAAATTCCATGGGTGTTTCGGTTGGTTTGCAGCCCAACAAGCCAACTTCTGAAAGCAGATCGAGAACATACTTTCTTTGGGAGATGGAAATACCTGCCTTAGACCTAGCTACTTCCATTCCAAGAAAGTATCTAAGATTCCCCAAGTCCTTAAGTTTGAATTCAGCACTAAGAAACTCTTTTAGACTTTTAATTTCGCTTGAATCATCCCCTGTTAATATTACATCGTCCACATAGACAATAAGAATACAACATTTTCCACTTTTCGAGTGTTTGTAGAACATGGTGTGGTCAGCCTGTCCTTGAATATAGTTTCTACTAGTCATAGCTTTGGCAAATCAGTTGAACCACGCCCTTGGAGATTGCTTTAGTCCATATAAGGACTTCTTTAGCTTACACACTTAGTCTTTGCTCTCTTCAAACCCGGGTGGGAAGTCCATGTACACTTTCTCATTTAATTCCCCATTAAGGAAAACGTTTTTTACGGCCAATTGGGTCAAGGGCCAATCCAAGTTGACAGCAAGGGATAGGAGAACTCGAATGGTGTTTAGCTTGGCAACTGATGCAAACATCTCGTCGTAGTCAAGGCCATAGGTTTGAGTAAAGCCCTTAGCCACAGGCTAAGCCTTGTATCGGTCGATACTGCCATCGAGTTTAAATTTTGTAGTGAAGACCCACTTGCATCCTACAGTCTTCTTACCACTTGATAAATCCGAGACTTCTCACGTTCATTGTCTTTGAGAATCATTAATTTCTTCCATCACAGCTTGCCTCTACTCAGTTGATTTTTTTTATAAGATTTGAAGGCCTCATTAAAAACCACCTTCTTGATTAATGGAGCTTATGAATAAGCTCCTTAATCAGCGACAGATGGAAAAGAGCGCCTTAGAACTTTATTAAAATAAAGTAGGATTACAACCTAGATAAAATCCCATAAACCCTTACAAATAGTCATAACTCCCTTCTGATCAAGAACAAGAAACCCACTTGATCAGTACAAAACACATAAAATTAAGCCTATACCAGCCTTTGCTAAGGTATCAACATCCGAATTAGCTGACCTAGCAACCCATCTAACAATCCCCCCACAAACCCTAAGATTATCAACAATATCCTTAACAATAACAGCATACACAACTGGATAAGAATCAACAATGTTAATCCAGTCCACTGCTACCTTACTGTCGCTTTCAACAATCAGTCGAACATTATCCCTCCCTTGAATAGAAGCGATGAAAATCAGACCCCTTTGGATAGCTTTGAGTTCCTTTAATGTTGGAGGTCCCAGACCATCAGGCTCCTGAAAAGAACCTAAAATTGCTCCCGAATGATCCCTTAAAATACCTCCTAGTCCGTTTTTCAACCAATCACTGGTGGTGGCAGCATCCACATTCAATTTTATGAAGCCTATAGTAGGAGGAAGCCAGGGTAATACAGATGACTTCATGAAATTGTAGGACGAGTGTAAATCCCCTAAAGAAGGGTCATAAATTAAAGAGTCTTTAGGAATAGAGATGTCCTTATACTTAGCTAAAAACCACGAGGCAAGCCTAACCCTTGCTAAGAAGAACAGTTCTAACTGGTCTAGCTTTCCCCCTTCAAAAACAATAAAATTTCTGGTTTTCCAAATAGTCCAAATAACAGCCCCAGGAATGAAAGACCAAATTATAGAATTAGACTTCAACTCATCCCAACATAATAGAAACGTTTTAGCATCTACATGAAGAACAGAACTGAAATTCCAAAAACTGTAAAAATTTGTTCTATAATAACCACACTACTAGACAAGTAAAGAATAGATGCGAGGAAGACTCTTCAACCTTTATACAAAGAGGACATAAAACATCATTAATACCTTGAACTCCTCTTTTAATTAATTCAGATTTAACAGTCAGTTTTTGCTTCACAATTTGCCACATAAATGTTTCAACCTTTGGTGGTACTATTCCTCGCCAAACAATTTTCAACCAGAATTGAGACTCCTCTGAACCTGTAGCACAACTCTTAACACAAGAGCTGACTGAAAATATACCATCCCCACTACCTTCCAAAGCCATCCTTGAACTTTAGACAGATAAACATGAGAAATAATGCTCATCAAATTACACAATTGTTCCATCTCCCAATCATTTAAATTTCTTCTAACTTGAACATCCCAAAACCAGCCCGATGAATGGAATTTCCCAAACTCACATAGTTTTCCTGAATTATTAGCAGTAATCAAAAACAGTCTTGGGAATAGGACCTTTAACGAATAATCTGAAGCCCAAACATCCTGCCAAAAAGAATGTGTTTACCATCCCCAACTTGAAAATAACATAAAGAACAGAACTTTGAACCAAAGGAGTGTTGCTTGAAATAGTTATTAGTCACTGATCTCCACTGCCAAGAAATAGAACATGGAAGCTTACTATCGAACAAAAGTCTTGAGGAATCAAAGTTATATTTAGAACAAACAAACCTCCTCCAAACATAATTTCTTTCGTTTGCAAACCTCCAAGACCATTTCCCTAGCAATGCTCTGTTCATGCAACTCAGATTACGAACTCCCAATCCTCCCTCATTCTTGGGTTTACACACTTCCTCCCAATTAACCCAATGAATTTTATTCTTACCAATGCCATCTCCCCATAGAAAATTAGCCATAATAGAATTGAGAGACTTAAGAATTGAAGCTGAAATCTTAAACATCGACAGAAAAAACGTAGGCAGTGAGCATAAAACAGATTTGATCAAAACCAATCTTCCAGCTAATGATAGAGTAGCTGCCCTCCAACCTGCCAATTTTGATTGAAAGTTCTGCACTACCGGATCCCAAATAAATGAGGAATTCTTTGTTGCACCTAGTGGAAGACCTAGATAGTTAGAGGGGAAACTACCAACATCATAGCCAATTGAATCAGCCCAATTTTGAACCTTCTCTTGAGATATGTTTACTCCAAACAGTATGCTCTTCTTTATGTTAACTTGTAACCCTGACATCACCTCAAAAACTCTTAGCACTATCTTAACATTCAAAATCTGCATCTTCAAAGCCCCACAAAAAATGATTAAATCATCCGCAAACTGTAAATGTGATAGATTGACAGCCCCTTCCTCCTTGCCAACTTTCAATCCGGAAAATAAACCCTCTAAAACAACCCTTAGGATTAATAAATTCAGCAATTCCCCTACTAGATTAAATAATAAGGGAGAGAGTGAACAACCCTGTCGAAGCCCCTTGGCCATTTGAAACTCCTACGATGGAACCCCATTAGCTAACACCGAAATCAAAGTTGTAGTGACACATTTCCTAATCCATCCGATCCAAGTAGAGCCGAAGCCCATTTTTTCCATCACCATGAACAGTATAGGCCAATCAACAGTATCACAGGCCTTCCTGAAATTAACTTTAAAAACACAACCCTTTAACCCTTTTTTCCTCCAATAATCAATGCCCTCGTTAGCAATGAGAGAGCAATCCAAAATTTGACGACCGGGTATGAAAGCAAATTGAGTCGGGCTTATGATTTCTCCTAAACAACTTCTGAGCCTCCTTGCAAGACACTTGGATAAAATCTTGTAAACTCCTCCAACCAAGCTAATTGGTCTAAAATCATCTAGAATCCCATTGTTAGTTCCCTTAGGAATAAGAGTGATGAAAGTATGGTTGATACCATGCTCCCATTCCTTTCCCAAATAGAATTTGTGAAAAAAAATCCATAATGTTACCCTTTAGCACATGCCAAAACCTTTTGAAGAAGCCCAAATTCAAACCGTCTGGTCCCGGGGCTTTGTTACCATCACAAGACTTTAAAGTCTCCTACACTTCCTCCTCAGAGAAATCCTTCTCTAAAAGACCACTTTGAACCAAGGAAATTCTAGGAAAACTCAGCCCAATGTCTTCAACATCTAAAGTAGACCTCTCATTAAAAATTCTGAAAAAATG